TCAACCTGACAGTAAAAACAATTAAATAACTAAATATAACAATACGCAATATTATAACAATACATAAAAACAACAGTGCAATAAAATGCGATAATTAAAAAATTATAACAATATTGCAGACAAGAAATATTTAGATAAAGCCTTTTGTTATAAAATATTTCCACTAATAAATATATACTGATAAAATTATTAAACTGTATACTACATTAATTAAATTATATAGTACTAAATTACAATTGAGAACGAAAAAGCTGTCGCCTTATTATGAGATGGCCTTCAACTGCAGCGTATTTTTCACTGTCACTGTTGACAGATTTTGTTTCATATATGAGTATCTGATGTTTTTAAATTTTTATTAAACGCCTAAAACTCGAATGACTTACCTTATTTAATTTCCTTTTATATTAAAATTTACGCTAATATATCCATATCAAGCGTATTAAAACATCTCCATTTAAGAGTTAATCCAGCTATCTGCTTAAGAATAGCAGCTAAGTAACACATCTTTTCTACAACGACGTGAAACCTAATTTACGTCTAGGGACATGCACCGCTCCATCTGTCATTGTAAAATAATCTAATGACGCCATGTCAGACTAGTAATTGCGCATTTTATTTCCAAATTCCCCTTGTTCTCGAACTAGTAGCGGCACGCGGTATAAAGTGAATCAATTTCAGAATCTTGTATGAGATCGTTAAATGTGTCAAGGGAAATGCAAAGACTAAAGACTTACAGTTCCGAACTAAAATTATGAACTAACCGGTTTGAATTATGATGTACTTAAGTTGAATCTCCTGAGAGAAATACTGTTGTTTCGGTCGCAAGTATTTCGGTTTGTTCTTGAATACGGTAACAAGAAAATTTGATGTAGCTCCTTTACTTTATGTAATGATTTTCTTTCTTTATTATGGTTTAGGCGCCTTTCTAGTTCGTTCCAGATATTAAAGGAAGCCAATTTATAGCGAATGCAAATTTAATGCAACAAGCTCCTATTACCATTTTCTGCCGTCGGGGATGTTTGACTAACAAGGTCCGATGAATTTCAAGATTTATTTCTCCCTTCCAGCAACATTTTAGTAAAAGACAATAATGGATGTGAAAGATTCTACACCAAGTTGTTTAGCTCAATTATAGTTTTTTCAATATAATAAATATAAAGAGAAATATATATATAAATCAGTATGAAAAGTAAATGAGTTTTTGTCCCCGTAGGGGTAAAAAAAAAAGTAGTATATGAATGTCCAACTGATAGAATGAAATAAAAATATCATCTTCCGAATTTTAATTTTTAATCAAACAATGAGAGTTAACTACTAGAATTAGAAACCGTAATTAAAAGTAATTTTCAAAATTAATAAAATGAGATTGTTGTTTATTGTTTTGATGAAATTTACAACAAATACTTAGTAAAATGGGTATTGATAAATATCTATAGTTTATAATTGGTCCTTATTTTAAGAAAAAAATTATAAATTTTTGTTCCATCCCCAACTCACTTTCTTGCACAGCACAAAATTCAACTGTAGGATTTATTTTGATTTTCTAATAGTGACTTTCTTTTTGAAGAATTCAACCCTTCTTCGGTCTCTTACTGACGAGAACTCTCGGTAAGTCACTACACTAAATAAAAATTATTGGGAAGGTAAACTTCGATATTCTAGCCCTCAAGGACTTTCAAATCAGTTAGAGTATTATACAACAATAAAATTATAAAATTCTTAAATGTTGAATGTTTTAAATGTCTTAACTCCCGATAGAAAGGGTATATAACCCTTTATTTATTTTTTTTATGTATTGTCATAGAATATCCTTTTTCTTTTCTTTTCTACCCCCCCCCCAGTTCATAATATTAATGTTCCATTTTCTGAAAAAGATAAACTTTCACTTTCTTTAAGTCACATAACATTCAACTGTAAAATCACAGAATATTTAAAAACATGATATCCTTGGACTTGCAGAGACATTAGGTATTTTTTTAAAGCAGGAGTGATGAAAATTTAGCAACCGCCTTCGCCGGGAATCGAACCACGCTCCTCTAGAATACCGGCCCAGCGTGTAGAACCACTACACCACGACGACACGCTAGGAAAGCGGGAGAAATATCTTATAGACTTCCCTAGGCAGTATTAGTGTTGCCGGATACTTTTATGTCCAGAAGAGCTTTTAGTCTCGAATCACATTTATTTGTTTCGCTTTTCAAATGACCAACCGCTGACACAGCTAGACGCCCAAGAGTGTTACTACAAGAAAGAAAAAAAATGCATGGTGCTTTTAATAAATCCAGATAGTATAATTTCACAGCTCCTGCTGCTAATTAACAACAGAGATAAAGAACTCCGTTTATTGCTTTTAAACCACCGATTTTATTGATCAATAATAGACTTTATAGTATTTTAAGGTAAATATATTAAGCTTCACTAAATAGCAATAAACTGCCGCGTGGAATATAAAAATATTTTATATCAGACAATGGCAACGCATTTCTTTTAAACAGCTGAATTCTTTTAATAAATTTGAAGACAAATATTTTAAACATTGGCGAGTGGCAACACATTTCACAAGTGATACGAGCAAAAAAGTTAGGTTCGAGGCCAAAAGCAAGTCTGGTGTTAATAAAAAAAGTGAAAATTGAAGAGTCATTTTCAAATGATTTTGAAAAAAAAAATTTGGATATAAAATCGTTAGCTAGATCGTTAGATTTTGAGGTATATAGAAGACATCAAAGTAATTTAATTCGGTACATGTGTAAAATCCCGTGAAACAGGGAAAGTTGGCGCAAATTCAGCCAAATTGACACCAAATCGTTTCATTTTTACTTCCTTGTACGAAGTAAAAAGGAAGTATTGTAATCGCGAAAAGCTTCAGATAGCATATTTCAACGAAAATATCCATTTTGACCGCTATCGAATGCAATTTAACGATGTTTTTGCGTGAATGTATGCAAGGACAGAATAAAAGACGTTTCCTCCAAAAAAATTAAAACTGCTTTAAAATGAATTCTGAAGAGAATTTTCGTGGATGTCTGTAGGAACGAGTAGGACGTGCGTGCGAAGTACACGTACGTACGTAGCACGCACGTATCAAAAACGCATAACTCGGACCCGCTAACCTCAGGGCGTAAAATTTATATAGTGGCGCTAATACATGTAGATGTGCACCTGTATTTGGTTGCAATCGGCGCACCAACGTATATAAGTACATTATATATATATCCACTCTGTAAACCCGGCCAGGATGTTAGTTTCTTTAACTCTTATATGTTTGTAAATTGTACATTTTTTTACTTTAAAAATGATTGAATTATTTTTTCTTATCTTCCGGTTAAGGTTTTATGCCTTTCGAAATCTGGAAGCAATATTTCACAATTATCAACAATTTAAAAGCTGTCAAGGCGGTGGTTTTTACATGGCGGACATATTTGTTTACATTTGAACAGACAGAATAGTAGGTTTGTGCCAATCTTAGAGAGACTAAGCTTCGCAACAATTAAGATAAGCCTATTTTATTGAATATATCATGTAATACTTTGAATTTTGCCAGTACTTGTAAACATAATCATCCTCTTATGGTTTCCAGAAATCTTGAGAAGAAACAAAGAAATTACTAAGAATCACGGCCAACTGAAATAAAAAATGCTGGAGAGGACATCTCAGCATCAGTTGTTTGGTTAAGCAGCTGTTGTTATTTGTTTGACGGATAAGCTGTATCTGTGCTGTGCTTTGCATTCTATTTTAACGTTTTTAGTAGTTAAAGTATAACTACTATTAATATCGACGTGGTATTGTGAACACGGTATGAATATCTCTGAGGGAAAATTCTAGCATTTGTTATATTTCTTTTGATACGAATAAATGTAGTACCTTTTAATGGACTTGTGCATTCAAACTATTAGGAAACATAAGCACCGTATAAACAATATTTGAGGCGAAATTACTTATTTCTGAAGTAAAATTTAAAGCAAAAATTTAATAAAATTACAAAAAAAAAGTTTGACTTATTATATCTATAGCAAAAATTTATTTCCATTTCCATGTATTCTAAACGTTTAAAAAACACTCTCTTATACCTAATTTAAAAAATAAACAAACAAACAATAACAAAAAAAAAAAAAAAAAAAAAAAACCTTTGAAAGAAAAAGTATTGATAGCATTAGTACACTTTCTTATTATAGGCAATGATGCTAAGTGGATGTTTTCTTCATTCAATTATGATGACAGTTCTTTTACGCAAGCATACACAATAAAATGGTATTATCTTTAGATAGATTTTCAGTAATTTTAGGTCCAGTCTATCATAACATAAACAACAGACATAAATTTTAATTTCAAATTTGTTTTTTCAAAAATTTCACATATTACCTTCTCCATCCATATTTTTATCACTGATTAGCTGAATATCTAACATTTACCTGCACATCTCCCAGGTTTCACACACACTTAAAAATCAGCATAAAAAAAGCAATTTTAATGTCACCCAGCCAATAATTAATAAAAAAATAAATGATGAGCCAGATGTTACATTTGATAAGATTTTTAAACCTCTCAAACATTAAAAAAACATTTTTGAATTTTTTGAAAAATGGTATAATGAGGCTTTTGAATCTAATAAATTGACTTGGAAAAAGAGTATGGAACTGTATGGAAAAAGAGTTTTTTGTGAAAATGTTGCCAAATGGAAATCAATTTCTGAATACTTCTCATATATAACAGTATTATTATAAATACAGTATACCACAATTTAATTATTGACTGCCCAAATAACATTTGATTATGCTAATGAGTATGCATATTTTTTTCAAAAGCTTTTGATACATTCATTCACTTCGGAAGCGAAACTTAAACAAATGTAAAAAGATAAACTTTCTAAAGACTTTAATAAATATCTGTAATTGAATCAATTGTAGGATCTTGAGATTGAATGATTTTGTATTTATTAAAGAACCACATTATTATTATTCCCCCTCCCCCATATAGGTTTTGCACCACAAATGAATACAGACCTGAATGAGAAATAGTGTAAGAATCATCAGATCCACTAGAATCATGACGTTTGATATTACGGGGTATAAGGGGAGGTCTGATGCTAATTGGAGAGCTCTTTTTCATGCCAGTACTTTTTAATGGTTCCATATTTGATGCTGATGATGATGATTTCCTGTTTGATGAAGAGTCAAAAGAATCAGAGTATACATCTGGACTTGAAGTTTTTGCAGATGCTGAGCTAAAAGTGAAAGAATATTAATTCATAAAATACAGTTTTCAATGAATTTCAGTTTCTAATTTCACTGACCAAACATACATACATACATACACACACACACAACACACACACACACACACACACACATATAATTAATCCATTTAGTAAAATTATTTTTACTAATTTATTAAATTTTATACTTATTTTCATAATAATTATTTCATAATATTTTTGATAAGATTCATTTCCAAAGTTTAGACTCATTTTTCTTCAGAATTAACATCTAATAAATCTCCAAATTACAATAGCTTTTACTCTTCACTTTCAAAGGGATAATTGACATCTATTATTAAAAATATATACAAGTAATATACATCTAAACCACTCAAAAAATTTTGAAATATCAAATTCTGAAAGAAGGCTTCTCTGTAGAAGAAATTTATAAGAGTACATAAGGCATGTGAAACACAGTATCTCAAATGGACTAGATATTTATCAGTTTAATAGTACAGACCCCAAGAAACCAAAAGCCCCTTTCCTATTAACATGATATTTTGTGATAAATTATCAATGCTAGATGGCATAAATTTAAGTGAATCTCATTCTTGGGATTATTTTATTATAAATACACAGTACAAAGTCCGTAATCCAGACTCGTGGGACTTCGGCGATTCCGGATATAGATCATCGATTTAAATCTTGTAGATGGATGCATAATTATACAATTAAAAATATGAAACCGTAATTACAAATAAAGAGCAAATTATAATGATCTAAAAGGTATTAAAATTTACAAAAAAAAAAAAAAAAAAAAAAAAAAAAAAAAAAAAAAAAAAAGCTTAATATTTATTGTTTACTTTTTAAACATTTCTTTCAATGTAAGTTGTTTAAGTTGCTTTGTTTTTTGTGCTAATACTTTCTCTTTAATTCTATAAACAGACTAATTTCTTGTTCAGTTACAAAGTTTCACTGTTCAAGTCGTAATTGTTGTGTTGAGAATACCGATTACTTGTCAATAAAAATTTTTGTTTTTCGTTTCATCTCTGTCACTTTCTTCACTATCGGAAGCGTGCATGGGTAACGCTATACGGGCGTTAGTGGACGCGCGCATTAAACGTAAGTTTGTGGCTGAGGTCTAGATTATAATAGATCATTCCGGATAATGGACGTCCAGATTACAGACTTTGTACTGTATATGTATATATATATATTTTTGGTATTTGGAATAATTTCAACAATGGTTTTATTCCATCCAAGTTTTTTTTTTTTATAAATAAATGCTCATCATAGCCTACTAAATTATGAATTATTGCAAGAAAGAAATTAGGAATTTGACAATTTAAATTGCAAATATTATGTGATGGTCTTCTACATTTTTCAGTTAAATGGCAAATCTATAACTGTCCTTCAATAACCTGAAGCCTCAGATATCATTTCCTTAATATATATATATATTTTCTCATTTGTCGAATATCATTTGCTAACATGTATATAAATTTATTAGCTACATCAGATGCCCTATAAATAAGAGATGGCTTACAAAACTCACGTACATATTTAATGCAATAATTTAAACTACATTCCAGTATTTCATTAAGTAGGAGTTTGTTGAATCTGGTTTACGAGTATCTAACTTTTCAAAAGGGATTCAAAATCGACATAAATGGCAAATGCTACTCTCATTGATCTTGTGAGGTTTATCTATTTTTTACCTAACAGTTCATTTTAAATCCAAAAGCCTTTCATATTAATTGCTTTCACCCATGCTTTCCATACCAGAATGTAAATGAGATAGCGAGAGTTTATTCAGATTAAGGTAGAACGAAGCGCTATTTAAGCAAGAGTTTTGGAAGTTATTTTTAGAGCATTTCTGCCTATTCCAGGCTATGTTGTTCTATGATTATTAGCGACTTGCGTTAGCAGCATGGAGTGTTCTTGCCATTAGGGGCTTGTCTCGCCGATTTACTACAAACCAGAGTTCTTATGTGAATGTTAATCCACCACACCTTGAAATCAATATTTGTTATGTTATTCTGCTAAGCCAGAAGTGAATGACTTCTTGTTACCAAAGTTGGGTCATTGTTAATTTTATGTTTGAATAAAAGGGTCTTACACAAACTTCTTCTGATTTCTGTTTTGTTTCAAAAGGCTAGATGATAATTCTTCAAAAGCCCTTTTAAAAGTTTATGTTCCCAAAGAGACATAGATTTTACAATCTTTTATAATTTTCAAATTTTATATATGTCTTTTTCAGGCATTTCTACTTTTACAGGATTACAGCCCACACAATCGATTTCATGTGTTTTAAAGTTTTCTTTTGAATAAAATACCTATCACATAGCGATACTTGATTTGAAGTTATATGACTTATTAATCTATTGACAATAATGAATATTTTGATCATCTTTCACATAAAACAAGTTTCAATACTTTTCCTATTTATTATCAGCAATTCTAATGGATGTATTGATTTTTTCTAATCATATAGATTTATATATACTGTTTAATTTCTCAAATTGGTTATTACTATCTACAGAGATAGGAAATTCAGCAACAGAATAGGCCAAATTATTATAGAAGAGAGTTGATAGAATTTATTATCATTATTTTTTACATTTATGATTGCTTTTTTGCTTTAATTTTTTCTGGTAAATAAATATAAGATGATTCATAATATTCATAAAGAGGATCATGCTTGTTAATTCTTAATTCAATGTATTTAATTTCGCAAGCGTCCATCCTGATTTTTTGCTAAAAATTAGCTGATTTATTGATCACTTTATCAACAGCAAAATCATAAAAAGCATCAAAATCACTTGAACTCAACGTTACTTTATTGGGTATTCTAAATGAATGCTTTTTAGATTAATTTCTGTTTTTATACATACTGAACAACAGTAAATTTAAATTTACTTTTTCTTTCACACTATCCAAAATCTTTTTATTCACTATATTTCTTTGATTTCCTAAGTACTCGAGAGGAATCATAATGTTGTTTTTATTTCTAATTTTCAATGTTTCTAATCTTGATTTGTAAACGGTTTCAATTAGCTCAATTTCCCTCTCAGTTTTTTTATACATGTTACTTGAAAAATAGAGATGCTAAGACTAGAAAAATAATGTGATAAAAATATGATAGAACATTTAGATGCGATTCCAAATCCCATACTGGGTGAAAGTATAGAAAGAATATTAGACATACTTTATGAGCAAAAAGACATTTGGAAAGGGACGCAGTCTGAAATGCAAAGAAAAAACAAAAACTAAATTCAAATGAAATTGTTTCTAAACGCAACAAGCTCTTACTGAAAGGTATATTCATGATGTTTGTGGCTCTAAAAAAGGTATTTTTTTTTAAGTTCAAACAACTCGTAAAAAAAAAAAACCACTTAAAAGATGCATGTTATAATCCTAAAACAGATAATTGTGGCGTGAAAGAACTACAAAAGAAAACCAAAATATCCCAAAGCAAAACTGAAACTGTTTTACATCAACAAGATGTTTATACAAAATATAAACCACTCATTAGAAATTTTAAGGGGAGAAGAATATATATTTCTAGCAGTGATGATCAATGGCATACAATTTAAGCCCATAGGTCACAAACACGTTTAATTTTTTTTTCATTGGTTTACTAATTAAATGTGCTATTTGATTTCCACAATTTTTAGAATTTTTACAAAATTGCTAAAACATTTTGAGAGTATATTCTGAAAGAAAGACAGAATGAAAAAGATTAGAAAATATATGGACGCAAATGGTACTACAACAAATATATACATATTGGATAAATTAGTTAAAATTATAACAATTCATATCATTGATCTATAAAAATGACACCTCTAGAAGCATCTGATAAAGATAATGAAGCTGTAGTTTATAAAAATTGATAGAAGCCTATAGAAATTTTTAAAAAACCTAAATTTAAGATTGGTGATACCATTAGAATTTCTAAATTTAAAACCTTTTCATAAGTGGATACCTCAAGTACTCTACAAAAGAGATTTTTACCATTTGTGAAGTTTTACACACATGGATCTTTCGAATTACAGACTGAAAGATTTGAATAATAAAGAAATTAAAAGAACGTTTTATGAAAAAAAAATTGGTTAAATATGATAAAAAAAGATAAAATTTATAAAACTGAGAAAATAATAAAGAAAAAAAGAAAAAAGGAGAAGACAAAGTTTTTGTTAAATGGTTGAGATATCTAGAACGTTTCAATTCGTGGACAGATCAGAAAAACATTCCTAAAAGTTCTAAATTTATTAAAACAAATTTTTGTTCTTATATTTGTGTGATCTAGTTTTCTTTGCTATCATAAAATGTAACTGGATCTACTTAAGTGTTGGAACTTCCAAATTCTCATATAGATGTGAAGATGCACACAGCCAGGGGCAGGGTGTAAAAAAAAACCCTTTTAATTTACCACAAAGTGTTTAACAGATGCCATAGACTTACGTGCTTACACAAAACACTGACCACTTGTGGTGAGATTATGTAATAAAAGATAATGTAATACTAAATATAAAGGTAAAGTGTAGTGCAAGACTACACAATTCGATTTAAACTATCAGGTTGACTCGGAAAAAAACCTACACTGTCAGGATACTAACTTGATGGCAAGTAGGTATAGCCACTATTAAGATTCACAGCTGGTAAAAATTAACAAACATGTGCTCACAATAGCGAAATCACACTCTCTCTAACCTTTTCGTTCCCACAGTTTAAGTAAATCCAGTTTAGACTATTAATAGTAAAAGTACTATAGAGTAATGTTCACTCTATTTAATTTATATCTTGGCTAGGAAACATGAACAGAAATATGAGAAATCACACAACATAAAATAATTATTAGTAAAAATAAGTAGAACTCTACATACTTACATACACACACACAAAAAAGTTTTGCTCATAAAAAGATAGTCTGCATTTACTTTCGTTACATTTTATAATTCAGCCCCTTTGTTAAGATTTCTAATTTTTTTGTGCAAATATTTGTTCAGAAGTCTAATTTTTAATATCATGAATTTATATTTTTAACTTCATCCATTTAAAAAAATTCTAATTTTTATCATTTAAATTTTTTTTATATAATTTCTCCTCATCATTTTTTTTTTAAATCACTGCATTACTAAAAAATTCCATTTTTGTGTGCCCTCATTTAAAAAAAATTACAGATATTTTTAATACTTCATTTTCAAGGCTTTTATTATAAAATTTGAGTTTTTCTCCAAGTATCCTAGCTGGATTATTAATGTTTTTTTAACACAAAATTGTTCTTATCATTGTTATGGATATTTCATTTCTCTTAGAAAAAATTTGAATCTCCAATTTGAGCTTGTAAATAATGAGAGATTTAGAAAATTATTAACACTGCTAATTTACACAAAACTTTTTTTCATCCTTTATTTATTTTATAACCTTTCTTATTAAAAATTACATTTATTATATTTCCTTTTTGTTACCTTCAAAGTTTTCTAGCTCAATTATTTATTAAGCATTAATTTTACAAATGAGCTTGCACCACCTAAATTAAATCCAGTTTAGACTATTAATAGTAAGTACTATAGAGTAATTAGATTTCACACTACTAATTTCATATACTATATCATATCAAATTTCCAAAAGAAAGTAGCTTGCACATAAAGTAAGCAGAGATAGAGATAATAAAAATAGTCAAGCAGAAAGCCAACCCATCATGTCAGGAAATGAATCCTCATTAATCTTCCAGTAGTTAATACTTTAATTCACTGAGGACATCTAATAAAAATCACAAACAAGTAAAATGAGTAAAACAAATTATCTTCTTGGAAAATAAAAGTCTTCTTGGAAATGAAGCACTAAAATATCAGTAAGTCAGTTAACTACCTAGCTGTATTTAGAGAAAACTGGGCACTAAGTGCAAATATGCTTTGCTGCTTTGAGTGACAGCATAGACACCGCACCAAAACTGAACCATATAAAAGATAATGGTTTATTAGAAAATCAAAATACTGTACATTTCCTTTTATAAGCTAAGAATTTTTAGTAAATTTTTTACCACAAAAGTTTTGGAGCAAGTTTATGCATAAGTTAAAATGACTTGATCACAAAAACAAATAATGGCAAAAAAAAAAAAAAAAAAAAAAAAAAAAAAATAATAATAAACTAAAACTAACTGAAAAGTATTATTTTGATATTATTTAATTTTACTACTCTCTGTTAATTGCTACATTACTCAGGTTTCTTAATATGACTATCTCGCTCAGAATTTTCAACAATTTTGTAAAGTTCCTTTCTGTTACAGTTAATTCTAAATAAATGGTACCATCCTGCGATCTACCATTAACATCACCATCATCCAATTAACGGAGAGTATAATCATCAGTTTTGCGTTCATAGCATGAATGTGGAACACTTTTTTAACAATCAGACTATTGTTTTTGGCTTATTTATTTATTTATTATTATTATTATTTTTTTTGAATGCATGAGGACTTGGTATTCACCTTCAACTTGTCGTATAAATCTAGCTAGGTTAGAAAAACCAGCTATCCAAATTTTTTGTGATACACAACAGTTTTGGGCCTTCTTCAGTTGCAGTTATAACTGAAGAAAGTGATAATGTTTAATCACCGAAAGTACTCCCGCTTAAACTTAAATAATATTTATACCAAATTACTGTTTTTTTCATTCAAACATATAGCTGGATTTGTAAGAAGATTTCAATTTTGGTTTTTGTATGGGCTGAATTTCTACTGCAAAATCATACCTGTTGGTTTACACTCAGAAGTATACGGTAAATAAAATTGAAGCTAGCATATGTCCGATGAAAATACCCAAAACTAACTGCTTACGGAGTCAAGTACACATAATTTTGTAAATGATACAAAAGAAATAAAAATAAAGAATTTTAATTACACATATTTTGTAAAATTTTCATCTGTATTGATTTCCTCTTCCAGATGAGAACTTTCCGCAGTATCATTGATGGTTTTTATTGACGACTCTGAACTGCCATTTTTTAGTTCTTGAAATGAGCTGGAAACAAACAACCTAAATGTATAACTTACTCCAAGAAAAGAAAACTACAATAAACAAACACTGCCTTCATATACATTAAGAATTATTACAAAATATTTCAAATCACCAAAATTTTTCTTTTACTAGCAATACAGTGAATAATAAAAACAAATTAGCAGAATTAATTCAATTAGATTGCCATTAATTTTTTAAAACAACATTAAGATTTTAAATCATTAAAAATGGATGAAATGCTATTATTTGAAATTTTTTAAAAGAAGCAATATATTTAAATTATTGTTTAAACAACCCATACACATTGTTGATGTGTTGATGTTTAAATATTTATCAATTACTTTAGTGATTACAGACTTATATTTTTCTAATTATGTAAATTACAAGTATTATATTACCACAATAATTAACAAATTACTATGGAAAAATTTTTGATATACATTTATTTAGATATTGTTAGATATATTCTCATGTCTTTAGATACGAGGGCAATCCCCCCAAAAAAGTCTCCTATTTTTTGGGGACGTACAAAAAGTTTTAATACGGTTGTTGGCAACACTGTTGTGAGTGGTGCCTTCTCCGCTACCACATAAGCACGCAGGCATTTCGCTCGGATGCTCAGCCTTGGCTTGGCAGCCATTCGAAATGGAGGTTCCCTGATAAACGTTACCGCCAAGTGTAAAGTGCGCGCGGTTATTCGATTTTTGAACGCAAAAGGTGTTAAAACCGGTTGAAATTCATCGCCTATTGATGGAAGTGTATGGACAGTCGTGCGTGGATGTCAAAAATGTTCGCAAGTGGTGTAAAGAGTTTACAGCCGGTCGTACCAAAATTCATGACGAAGAAAGAAAGGAGCGGGAGGCTGTCAATTGCCGACGAGACAATTGCGAAAGTTGAGGAACTCATGCGTAAAGATCAGAGGATCTGCATTTTGGTTCCTGAGCACCATCCACAGGATGGTTTCCAGAAGCACCATCCACAGGATTTTAACGGAAAAGTTGCAATATTGGAAGGTGTGTGCAAGATGGGTGCCGCGTATGCTGACAGAAGATCACAAATGGCAACGGGTTGATTCTTTCCCGCGAATTTTCTTCGCCGCTATGGAGATGAAAAATGAAAAAGACAACTTCTTGGACTCGATTGACGCTTCCTGAAGGGCATGGTGGCAAGCTGGTATGACATGGGCACAGTAAAACTGCCACAGAGTCTACAAAAAATGCATCGACCGAAATGGCGATTATGTTGAAAAATAAAGCATTCTTCAATCTTTAAAGTGATGTAGCAATTATAGAAAAATAACGGTTCTTGTATATCTAAAAATATAGGAGACCTTTTTTTTGGGATTGCCCTCATATATGTTTGAACTGTAGGTACGGCACAAGATGCTTGTGAATGCAGTGTCTTTGTAGTACAGAAAAAAATTAAAAGCCACTGAGCTGAAAGTCTCCTTCACTGGTTCTTGATTCAGGAAAAAGATAAAAATCCAGGAAACCCTTTACTGAAAACAAAGGTGAAGTTTTGAAAGAAAGCCCTTATTCGCTTTATTCCCATTAAATTATTTAAATTGGCATGGCAGTAAGAAGAAAAAAATCTGATGTGTACACAACATGACTTTCTTGTATGGAATAATACATTTTTTCTTGCATTTAATTTAAACTTATTGGATTGAATTAAATCTACTTCCCCGATATCCCATAAACCATAATAGAATAAATGCACTCTTTAAAATTCACTATATTTGTTTACCATAGCAACACTCTGGCGCTAGACTCACTTAACAGCGTTATATTTCATTCATATTACAGTACAAAGTCCGTAATCCGGATTCGTCGGGACTTTGGCAATTCCGGATTAGGGGTTTTTTTGGAGTATAGATCATCAATTTAAATCAGGTAAGATGGCATGCAGCAATTATACAAAAAAAAAAAAATATGAAGTATTTATGAAATAAAGAGCAATTATGATCTAAATAAAAGGTATCAAAAAAAAATATTTATTTGTTTACTTTATTAAACATTTCTTTCAATGTAAGTTGTTTAAGCTGCTTCGTTTTTTGTGCTAATACTTTCTCTTTAATTCTATAAACAAACATAATTTCTTGTTCAGTTACAAAGTTCCACTGTTCAAGTCTTGTAATGCTGTGTTCGAGAATACCAACCTAACTTCTCAAACCAATTTTTTTTTTAATTTTCGTTTTCAATAACCTCTCTGTCACTTTTCTTCACTATCGGAAGTAGCAGTATTTTCTAGGATCTAGAACCATACTACAAGATTTTGCCATCCGTTAATTGATTGATATGATTGGGGCATTGTCAGTCACAATGAAAAACTTCTGTTTATATCATCTTAATTTATTACACTGCTTCTCCAGACATTTCTTTACAAAATCCAATTAACTGGAAAATTTCACCTTGCACTTTGCGATGATCCCGAAAACCTTCAAATTTCGCGGACTATCAAATTCATCATCCGTCCTCACCATGAAATATGGTAGCTGGCCATAAATTATGGCAACATTTTTTAACATATTTAGAGACACATTCTCCCAACGTGCATTAATGTGCATGCGTAAACGGGTTTTGAGGTCTGGATTATAGATCATTCTGGATAATGGACGTCCGGATTACGGACTTTGTACTGTATAACTCAGAATGCACAGAATTTATATCATTTGAAGAATTACCTAATCGATGCCACATGTTCTATTCAAATACTATAATAAATTTAGAATGATGTATAAAAGAAATTAAGCAAACAAAACAAAAAAGAAAGTTTTTCACAGACGATTCACTATTTTTTATTCAATTAATTCAGTTCTCATTTCGCGACAAGACAAAAATACATAAAAAAACAAAATATCTATATTAAAAATTACGAAGCAAATCTTAAACACTTATTTCCTTGAAAAAATTCCAAAAAGGATTAAGCACGATTTAATTCACAATAATAAATGAAGGCATTATCTTTGTTGTTGCGAAGCTTAGTCTCTCTAGATTGGCAATAAATCTACTACTTTGCTGTTTCAAATGTAAACAAACATGTCCTAAAGGCATAAAAACTTTAACCGGAAGATAAGAACAGCATAATTCAATCATTTTTAAAGAAAAAATGCACAATTTACAAAACATATAAGAGTAAAGAAACTGAGATCACTGAGCCAGGTAAGAGATTGGATACATATATAAATATATTTAAACCAAAATTGAGGTGCACATCTACATGTTATAGCAGTCCTATATACAAAATTTCAACGTTCTGAGGTTACTTGTTTTTGAGTTATGCGAGAGATACATACACACGTATATACAGACACCATGAAACATTCTCTTCAGAATTTTACAGCAGCTTTATAATTTTTTTTTTTTTTTTTTTTGGGAGGAAAAGGGTCTTTATTTTATTCTGTCCTTGTGTACAAAAACATGGTTAAATTAATTCGAAAGCGCTAAAAAAATGGATATTTTATTTGAAATATATTCACGATTACAATACTTCCTTTTACTTTGTACAAGGAAGTAAAAAGGGCACTTGCACATTAGTGCCACCAACTTGGTGCACTTCGTGAATTTGGAAAGTTATTTACTGAGTGCAAGTTGGCCTTTTTTTTTTAAAAAACATTTCCAAATTATCGATACTTATTGTAAGCTGGCAAACATTCCAACAGAAATCACTTTACCAACTTAAAATATAAATTTTAACTATTAAATAACAATTATATGAACATTAAAAAATTAAAAAATAAAAACTTTTTTAAAATTTTTTTTTTTTATTTTGCCAAATCGTTCTGTAATTTTTCTTTCCCCCATGTACATAGCAATCTATTTTCACTTAGAAAATCAAAGAACTGCATAATCTCAATATTACATGTTAGCTGCTTACCAAATGCACTTTATTATTATACACAGAATATTAAGTCTTTTTCACAATTAAATCCTTTCCTAAACACTGCAGCAACACAAATATTTCCTTAACCCCACAAATAAACAGGTTTAAAAATAATGATATAGTATTAAGAAACACACAACATGTGACTGAGAGAGAACTATCTAACAATCCTTTTGATTAAGGCAATGTTGGTTGTTAAAAGTGAAGAACTGTAACACGCATGGTTTGCCTGAAGAACTGTAATATGCATGGTTTGCCTGAAAAACTGTTACACACGTGGTTGTCGAAGTCTGACACATTCTGAAACTTTGGTGTTTCCCATTAAGGTGGTTTTGGCAAGCACTAAAAAAAGAATAAAAACTAACCAATTTTTTTTTAACTCAAAGTATACATACCCTGATGGCACAGCATTAGATGGACTACTGTTTTCTTTGTCAGCTACAATATCTTCAATGGTACTGCTTCCAGAAATCTCTAAGTGTTCTTCAACAATGGATTCAACTTGTTTACCATCAGAAATATGGCTGATAATGCTAGAAGGTGTTTCTGTTGAAGACAATGTGTTACTCAGAGAATGCTTTGAATTAATGGATGTCTCGTCAATGACTTCAGATTTTTGTGTTGCATTGTCTAAAATAACAAATTTTTGTAGTAAATAAAACTCCTTTACAACTCCTTTTTTAATTTAAACTTGCATTTCTTTAAATCAAAAAAGTAAACAACATAAAGAATTCGCATGTACCAAATTCAAGCATAAATATACTATATTCTAAATATATATGAAGAATTGAAATCATTTTAAGTTATTAGATATTTTTCAAAAACATTCTGCATTTATTTTTATACAAGGTTATATAAAGTCATTCCACTATGTAAAGATTATTCAAATGACAATAGTTTCAAATTCATATTATTACATCTTTTAAATTAATTACTAAAGTAACTATGCTTAAAACTAACACAGGAATTCAAATTTCAGTTTTATATTGTTGTTAAATTAGACCTATAAGCAACTTCAGAAATATATACTTCTACGAATCTATAAAAACATAGAAAAATACCATTAAGTGGAGTTGAGGAAGAAGAAACATAGTATTTTGCTTTCTTTTTGCTCTGATTTACTAACTCCAGAGCTTTCTGTTCAAGTTCTCTGACTGCCATTTCTTCGCTATCAAGTTTCATTTGCCATTGAAGTAAATTTTCTACATGCTTTCTTCTTTGCAAAATCCGTTGCTCTCTTTTGCTAAGATGTCTAAGGGAAACAGAAATATAAGATTTAGAAGATTGGTATTTAACATAAGTTTACCTAAAGAAACTTCACTACTCTAAAACAAATTTAGACACAGTGGATTATAACGATTCTTCATACAATCAAAAGTCGTTAATCCGGACTCGTCGGGACTTCGGCGATTCCGGATTATAGATTTTTCCGGATTATAGATCATCAGTTTAAATCTGGTAAGATGGCATGCAGAAATTATAAAATTAAAAAATATGAAACCGTAATTTATGAAATAAAGAAGCAATTATGATCTAAAGGGTATCAAAATTTACAAAAAGAAAAAAGCTTAAATATTTATTTGTTTACTTTATTAAACATTTCTTTCAATGTAAGTTGTTTAAGTTGCTTCGTTTCATGTGATAATACTTTCTCTTTAATTCTATTAAACAGACATAATTTCTTGTTTAGTTACAAAGTTCCGCTGTTCAAGTCCTATAATTGTTGTGTCGAGAATACCGACTAATTTGTCAATCGAAATTTTTTCGTTTTCAATAAGCTCTGTATCACTTTCTTCACTATCGGAAGCGAATTATAATGACGAGGAACTTGATTTAAATCATATCAAAGACGGAGTACTTCGAGATGAAATACTACATTTAGTAAGGAATTATAAGCCAAATAAAATGCACTCAAAAGTCGTTAATTCGGACACCCATAATCCAGAATGATCTATAATCTGGACCTCAAAGCTAAAAACTTTCTGCCGCGTTGACGATAGATCATAATCCGGAATGGATTATGGGTGTCCGAATTAACGACTTTTGACTGTATTCTAAAACAAAAGAACATAAGAATGAACAATCAATTAAAATAAACCATATTTTGGTCTCGGACACAGAATTTTTGTACTAGTTGACATGTAATGAAACAGTTCTCATAATAAATTATCATTAAAACAACTACTTATTATATACATGACATAATAGAATTGATGGTCACAACTTTAAGGAGTGACAGAAAACAGGGAAAGTAACAATTTTTGCAACATAATGTATGATAGAATAAATATGTAGAAGCATAGTAAGTTTAAAGAGAACTAAAAACAAAAAGTCGTTTCAACCACAGATATTTACAAGAAATAGCGTTTGATACTTGTAAATACAAGTATTTAAATAATGATGAAATGACTGTATTATTCTTGGAAGATACTCAACATGTTATATACTTCTGCAGAAGTGAAGGCAAATCTAATAAGATCTTCAGTTGAGTCAACTTTTGCCTTGTTAATATCCATTACCACTGTGATGCATGATTATAGTTGCTGGTGATTCATTTAAACAACAATTAAATATCAAATAACTTTCTGTTTTCCATGTCCTATGTACTAATTGTATTTCATATTCTCCACAAACCATATCATAAAAATTATTAGTTTTGCCATGGTCTGCATCCTATAAAGTAGAAACTATCAATTTTGCTGTTACAGTTTGTTGTTATTTGTTGGATATATGGTGTATGACTGACATAATGGAAGCAGGGCAGATTCTAACATGTCTGTAAAAACATAAGAAAAACCAAAAGTATCAGATCAAGAATTTGGAAATGGTTGAAAGGCAGTGGTGGCATATGCAGACAATATAGTCAAGGTCAAAAACAGATTCTCAGGACTGTTATTTAGCAATGACCCCTAAAAGAAACCAAACTGACCAAATAGCAAAGGAGCCACAGGAACTCAACTATCCAGAGCCTGAGAGACAGGCTGCACAGAAGAGGGCTTTATGGAGTGTCATTTATGGCTGCAAAATGCACCTGGGTGCTGGGATGAAGAGATCATTGTGATTACAGTACCATGGACTGCAGCCAAATTCTCTTCAGTTTTGTTTTTGTTGGAGAGTAATTCTAAATGTGTTACAATTCGGAGATGGGGGGGACTGAAAACATCCATAAATGGAGGTAACGATACAAAGGTTGTGGACTGTAGTATGGATGGACATCATTCTGAATGGCTGCACTGCCTTACACATTTTCACCAGTGCAACCTGATATTTAGCAGTGCAATAACTTCTGCCTAATGGATAACATAACTTATCCCTATTGTGATAATGACTGATTATCTTGAGAGTGAAGGAATCCAGCATATGGAGTGGCCCCCACATTCTCTGTATTTAAGTCTCTTAGAACATATAAGTGACGGAGGGCATGGGCACCATCCCTCTACCACGATGGTCAATTGATATAGCGCCACGTCCTTAGAGAACATGTATGGGCACCTACAGCCTTCACTTAACACTCTCCAGAAGTGATTGAGTATTTAGGAGATTCTTCTCTCTGCAAGCATTTATAGTATGGCCAGCTTCTTTTGCGGGAGTATCTGCATTGAGTGTCTGATTCAGGTCATGGGGACTGGGCTGCGGAAGTGCACTTTGATCATGTAATCATCTGCTTTCTCTTCCATTCATCCATCTATATATTCCCTCCATACGCACACATACTGATAATTTATTTTGGGCAAATAAAATAAATAATAAATAAATAAATAAATAAAATTTAAAAAATATATAGAGAGAAAATAACAACTTTAATTTTCCTAATTTAAAATCTTTAATAACGTGATTTTTTAATGTCACAAAGATGACATTCAGTTGCCAATGTTAGAATTTTCTATAAATTTAAAATTTAACCTACAAATTTTTACATTATCATTTTGTTCCAAGAAGATGAATTATAATCACTTGGGAGACATAACTTCTCTAATAAAATATTAGAATTTTTCTAATTTTGCTCTACGGAAACTGAGTGAACATAGATAATTTATGTACTTTATGATAAGTTTTGTATGCTAAACATAACAACTCTATTAGAATTTGTAATATTTATTAAGTTAATGACAAAAAAAAAAAAAAAAAAAAAAAAAAAAAAAAAAAAAAAGGGTTTGTCTATTGTATAAAAAAGGAGCTTGTCTATTGTTGAAAGGTGCCAAATAGCATACTTTAATGAAATTTAATTCCTTGTTCCTTATTCCACTTCAGTAAAATTCAAACTTTTATAAGAACATACATAAATGGAATATTTAAAAGCATAAATTTTCAATATTTACATGTATTTTAAAACATTTAGCATATGCAATTTACAATAATTGAATATTTTCACAAGCATTATTAAATATAAATTTTGATTAAAAGACAGAAAACTGGAGAGAGGAAAAAAAATCATTCATCTTACTTACCTTTTACTTGCTTCAAGTTTCTTTAAACCTTGAGCAGCTGATTCTAATGAATTACTTGAATTCAATGACAAATTCGAATTGCTTTGGCATGGTTTTGTTAAAGGAGTTGGTACACCTTGTGAATATTTCTGTGATTTGTTCAGAGATGACAGAGATGATTTTGTATGTTCTGAAGCTTGTAATTCAATTACAGACTCTGAAAATAATTATCCAAGTTCTAAAATACAGAATATTGTTAAATATAATTCAAATTCATAATACACTGCAACAAAAACCTTTTAATAAAGCTTTTTCAGCTAAACTCATCAGTGTAGGCTGCCTGAAAAGTTTTAAGATTGATATTTTCATTCAGAATCAAATAACTCTATGGGGGGCTGTATTTTTTCACTTTCATTGTTTCATGCCGAATTATACATTTTAGATTATTTTAATTTTATTATTAAAAAAAGACAATTAAAATTAGGCAAAAAATTAATCTTAGGTCAATCTAGATTCTAAATAAAACATTACTAATTTTGAGGAAACTGAATGCTTTTAAAATAGCATTCAATTTCTTTATCTTTTGATATTAAAATCTGGCAATATTTTTTAGAGTACAGTCTACTATAAACCAACTGCTAACCCAAACATAATCCTGGTATGATTCTTTATTATTTGTTCTCATAAAACAGCTGCTTTTTTTTTTAAGATGAGCTAAAACACTCTTTTGAACATTCAAAATTTACGAAAAGAAATATAAATACATCGCACAAACTGCAACAAACAACAGATACCTTTCAATTTTTCTCGATTTATCAAGAAAATCAAAAGATAGGCTTCTGTATTCATTTCTGAAAAAATAAAGTTACTACCGATTGTAAGAATCAAATACAAGTAATTCGTCGGAACATTCTCCTATCATATCACATTTAGGCATTAGGCTTGGTAATGATGATGTATACAAGATGATGATGTACATCATCATCTTGTATTCATCATCATTACCAAGCTTAATGTCTAAATGTGAATTTAGAGTGTCAACTTAGAATATTTTGATCTGTTTTTAATTTCCGAAAAATGCTACTATCTAAATCCCTCTCATTTGCCTAATAATTTCAATGTGTTTCCCATATATTTAGATAAGTGTAAACTTTCTTTGCAAAACACATTTTATGGTTTTTTCTGACCTTTTAAGGAAAAAAATATCTCGATTTTTATACTTACGAAGTTGGCAAGTAGGCAGAAAGACATGGCAATTTAACTGCAGGGAGGGGAGGTAGTCTTAAAACTTTACAGCAAGTTTTTTCACAACGAGTTAAAACTTTACAGGGAGCAAAACAATTTTTCAAATGCAAAGAAATATTACTAAATAAGTTTTAGATTTATTTGCAAAATAATGTAAAAAGTTTTATCAGCAAAAACTCTTATAATTTAATACAGTTTCTGAACATAAATTACCTTGAGAAGAATTATGAGATAAAGACTTTGCCAAATCAGAAGCTTCAGGGATATCTTCCTCTTCTTCAACTTGCACCTTAAAATAAAATAATTACTTCTTTAAAATTTAAAAAATAAAAACATTTAATATTAATTGCTAACATGAAAGAACAGAAAAAAAAAATATTACAAGAGCTTTAATAATAGCTTGAAAATTCAGTGAGCTTTTATTTGCTTGTAACAATTTACCAAGAACAACATGAACTATGTCATGAATGTAAAATTAAAAGACGTATAAATAAAAAGGGCCTTTTGTTTGAAACTAAATATTATCTAGAAGTATTTATATTGAAAATCTGATAAGATTCTTGCAACGTGAAGAGGTTAAAAAAAATTTATATATATATAAAAAAAGTTAAATATTTCAACAAAATTCAATGAGGCTTTGGGATTTTTAAGAAGATAGAAATTTAAAGAATGTTTATTTTAGAAGTTTCATTTCATAACTTTCAGTATAATTCTACTTGTATAATAAATAATTTATATCATAATACAACATCATTACTAAGTTAAAAAAGTGTTGCTTATTAGTTCTTTAAGATAAGATTTGGAATGTCTACATGCAAACTTTGAAACAGATTACAGAAAAAATTATTACATTAAATGATTATTGAAAATATATCAAAATGATTTAAATCTCTAATAATGGCTTAAATAATATTATTGTAATAAATCATGAGTATTAATGGTATTACAAATATATGAGATTCATAACATGCATAACAGCTATAATTAAAAAAAACCACACAAACATTTTTTATTAAAGAAATGTAACCTTTGTAACCTTACTAATTCAGAAGTCAAACAACAAAAATCAGCGTTATATTTTCGAAATTTTCACAGGACTAGTTTCAATGGTTTTACCGAACCACCATCTTCAGCTGTAAAAACGCAAATGAACAAGATAGGAAATAATGATTAGATAAGATAAGAAAGCCCGGACAAGAATAATTACGTGGCGCCATCTGTTGATGAAACCAGAACTAAAACATAATTTCTTTAAAGGCCGAAGGCAAAGTTGGATCAGAATTAGGATCGTTAACTAGACCAGAAAGATTTTTTTGAATGTGAAATGCCTCTAGAAAATCCAGTTCTCTAATGGGAGATGTTTTTTGAATAATTTTGGCAGCAGAAAAATTGAAAGAGTGATTTTCGGACCAACAATGTTGAGCAACAGAAGACTTCTGTGTTTCCTTTTTTCTAACATATGCCTCATCTTCTTTGACGTGAAATTTTAAGGCTCTCTTAGTTTGGCCAATGTAAATTAAACCACACTGGCAAGGAATCCTATTAATACCTCAGGAATTCATATCCGGAATGGGGTCCTTAAGTATGGAACTTGGAATTTTATTGATGGGAGAATAAACAACCCGAAAGTTAAATTTCTGCAAAATATGTGCAACTTTATAGCTAATAGATGGAAAGAAGGGAATGACAACAGAATTTTTATATCTCCTAAAACAAGAGTGTGCCTTTTAATGTGTTGAGCTGACCTTAATTTCAATGGTCTCTCAACAATTAAACCGAGGCAAAATCCTGCTAATTATATCTGAAAACTATCACTCTTCTTGCTACATCTGAAAAGTGAAACCACGAAAAGCTTTTGTTTCAACTTCGGCTTCAAATATCTAAATAACTGCATAAAGTGTAAAAATTTTATTTTTTGAAATCATGGCTTTTGCTCCCATTTAAAATTTAAAGATCAAATGCACCAACAGCAGACAGGCTGGTTATCCTCAACAAAGCATTTACTTTTATACAATACAAACAGTGAATTTAGAGAATCTTCACTTGCTATCAGAATATTCTAGTACAACACTTTTAGCAATTAAAGAAGAAATTTATAGAAATAATATTTTGTAAGTGCTACAACCCAATAAATATTAAAAATCTGACGGATATATCAACTAAATTTTTACCAATAAACCTGATATCTGATAGAAAATGCTTTTTTCATAAAATTAATTTTATCATCGAAATTTTATAAATAAGAATTTTTATGCAAAAACATAAAAAAGAAGAATTTTTACCTCATCTGATGGTATTGTTGGAGTAGACAAAGTTGAAACTGATCTTGGCTTGGGATTCTCAGACACCTTGTTTACAGACTGTCTTGAGCTTTGAGATCCTTCCTTTTCTATAATGAAATCAGGATATAATCTATACTTGGAATATAATAAAATTACAGAAAAATGAAAAAAAATTATGTTAATAACAGTATATAAGTTTGAAGGCTTATTTATTCCGTAAATGATAATATTTCAATTAAATGTGAAGTGATACTTTGTAAAATTACATTCAACAAACTTTGCTTAGCTATAATCTGACTTGGCTCACATGGTAGAAGAAAATAATGTTTGATCTTAGCCATCACCTCCTCTCTTTTAATGAATATCAGTAAACTAACCCTATCAAAATCACTCAAGGGTGATCCTGGCCAACACCAATATGTCAATGAATTCAGTGTCAGTGGCCGCAGTGTGGTGCACCTCATCAATCATTAGGCAAGTAATATGCCAGGAATCTTAGTTAGTGGGGAGAAAACTGCATTTACTGCACACCTGCTTTCTTTTGCTGAGTATTATATTCTCCACTGCTAGACTTTGTCAGTAAGGTGGGGGATTTCTTTTATTATTTCAAGTTTATTTTTACATTTACTTACTTTTTGGATTGGGAAACAAAGTCTGGACTTTGGATTGTTGGATTTCAGACTTTAAGCTGTACTTAAAACTGAGAATGTAGTGGCATGTTTTCATTATAAAACATGAATGCATGTTTTTGGCATATTGTATGGAAAAATAGTAAACTGAGAAATAAATCTCTGATCAAGAAGTGGATTCCGTTACCTACATTTAGTGATGAATTATGCTAATTAGCACTTGCATGTTGTTTTAAAAGAGTTATTTGAGTTATGAAAATGGAAACATTAAAGATTTTGAAGACTTACCAAAGCATTTTGTTTTATATTCCAGATAAATATTTTCCATTTAGTAAAAACGTTCCAGAATTGTGAACTGTCTTTATTGATAAAATACATTTTATCAAACTAGCAACAGTTCTGTGTGCATTCAATCTTTACGAATCCTTATGCAAGCAACAATAAACTTAATATTTAGATAACATTTTATTTGGAATGCTAAATACACTACACTCTTTGTTGAAGCAGTTGACATGTTTAACTACAAAATTTACAATGTATGAGGTTCTCCGAGCTATTATGATTGTCTAAAGTGAATACTATTTATTGAAAAATGACAAATATGGAACGGAAAAAAAAAAAAAAAAAAAAAATCTAGGAGGGATGTAGAATATATGTGTAATACACATGTAACTTTTTTGGCATGAAGTAAGTTAAAACTATCCTTAGCAAAGAGTTAACAGCTTGTCAACTTAAACTTATCATCCTGATATGATTTAATTAATTCATCACACAAAGTCAACAATTAATTCATCACACAAAGTCAACAATTAATTCATCACACAAAGTCAATTTAAACAAGTTGCTATTAGGCAATGCAGGTGGTTTTAAAAACTTAAAATAGTAATGCAAAATAAAATTATTTCTTCTACTGCAAAACTTACAAACTGAGGCAAATTCTTGTCATTTTAAGATTCAAATTAATTCACAATAGTACCGAATGTTTCAGATCCTTGAAAGTCTGGTTTGGATCTATAGTAACTAATTTACCAATACAGTCCTTAGCCGTCAGTGTCTGCTTCACAATTAACATAGAAAATTTATTGTCTACATGACAGCAATATCTGATAAGCTCTAATAAGCTTACAGTTACAATTAACCTCCTATTGTTAAACTATGTCACTTGCCATTCAATGTGTGTAACTTCTTGGTCTCACCAAGTATTTGTGACAAGAACGAAGAATAATTGGATAGAATTTATTAATTTAAAGCTAAATAGTAGAAAAACCTAGAAATAAGTGTCACATACAAATTTTAGATCTTAAACAAATGGGTTTTAGCACTTTAATCTAACGAATGAAAAAGATCAAAGGCACAGATCATTGAAAAGCAGTTGCCAAAAAACGTAAAAGGCTAAAACTTGATTTCAGCACAGTTCAGGCTTTAGAGTTACGAATATAAGATCCCCATAGCTTTCATTTAAATCAAGTATTAATTTTGTATTTAAAAACCATCAAAAACATAAATAACCATAAATTAAACTGGAAGAAAAACACGATAATGTAAAATTTTAAATTATTAAAAAAAAATCTTAGTTTTGTGTAGATTTTATTAAAACTCTTTTAGTTTTGAGGGTGATCAAACACAGTTCAAGTTTATTCAAGAGGAGAAAAATGAGGGACTAGATTATATTTGTTTCTGAAGAAGAAAGACCTGTATCTGTTTGCCTTCGAATCAATAGAATTTTATTGAAAACCTACACCAAATGAAGACTGTAATTTTGCCTAATTTTAAATTGCTAAGTTTTATAAAAAAAAAAAAAATAATAAACAGTAAATTTACCATTCAGTATCTGATAAACCAATGTACTTGGTTCATTCAAAAGTTTCTTTTTATCTGCAAGGAGAGAATGGTGCTTTTCACATATACTTCTATAAGCTTCTTGCATGCATTTCAACTGAGCTCTTTCCTGACGAAGTCTTAGTATAATATCCTTTTGACGTTTTTTGACAGCAGAAACCTTCCTCTCAGAACCTTTTTCTTGTAACTTTCTGCTTAACAAAGAATTAAAAAAAAAAAAAGAAAGAATTATTTTTATATACTGAATTTATCTACTTGTATAATATTAATACTTATATAAAATTTCAAACCTCAAACATTGCTATTGTGAACAAGCAAAATTCAGATATTCTATTAGTAACAAAATGAGCATTTTGAATACTGAATCTTCACACTTAAAAAAGTGAAAACAAAACTCCTAATTATAAGTACAGAAAAGATTATCATTTTTAGATACAGAAAAGGTGATATTTCTTAAACCAATGAATTTCTTTTCTTTCTTTCCTAATCAAACATTTCATACTCTCTGATGCAAAATTTCAAGGCTCTCTTTGTTTCATCGATGTCTAATAAACCATACTAGCAAGGAATACTATAGATAGTCTATAGGTTTATTTCTGATATACAAGCTGAAAAAATCGAAGTGAATTTTATTAATTTGGGGAAAAAATGCTTATGTTCAGAAAAACGAAATTCACAGATTTACTGCCCATCACTGTCAGTTAAAAATGGCATTTGCCATATTTCTATAATTAAAATTATTCAAAAACATCTTCAATTGGAAAATCAGATTCAATGGAAGCATTTCAAATCCATAGCAAACTTTCAGTTCTGGTTTATGATGCCAATTCTAATCCATTTTTACCACTGTCTTTTCAAGATATTAGTTCTTAATTAATTCTCATTCACTTTTCAGTCAATAGATGGAACTAAGCACTTCATGTTTTTACTGTTTAGCTGGAATATTACTGAACTTTTTTCTGTTGTTTTTGTGTCCTAATTTTCCTAACACAGCTGAAGAAAGACCTCCCAAATTTATTCATTTCACATTTATTCTCCTTGCTTTTTATTGGTTTCTTTAGCATTAAGTTCATTAGCGTGTTTTTTATAACTTTTATAAAATATATTCAAATTTTTTCATGCATGCTTTAATAATGAATTACAAAGTATTTTTCCCCAAGAAATGCCTTAAATTGTGGTATAATTCCTTATTATAATTACTAATTATTAATAATGCTTTAATTTTTATTTAGGGACATTATGCAAGAAATCTACATGAAATTTATAAAGCAAAGATAAAAGTTATGAAGTTCAAAAATCTAATCTGCATATTTAAAAAAAGATTTATGGAGCTATTTGTAAATTTTAATTACCATTCAATAATTTCATGTATTTGCCTAAATTTTTAACAGGCAAATGATTCTGAAATGAAATACAGCATTTTCCCTGAAAATCCGAATATGCAAAATAGAAATGTATAAAATTAGAACGCCGGGAAATTTAACTACTTTTGTATTAATTTACATGCATGTTATTTATTTCTTTTATACAACATACTATATTTTCCTTTAATCTAGAGAGCCATATTTTAAAAGCTTTGAAATCAGTAAGTATTTTAGGAATGGAATAATCATACCAAAACTTATACTGCATATATAAATACAAGAAGCTCAATACATATCCCCTCTTCTATATCATCTAACTAAACAAATCCTGTTCAATAATGCAGTTGAAATACTATTTGTACACAAACAATAAATGTTGAGAAAAATTAATGTGAATTATCATTGCTAAAACAGAATCTTCTCTTCTAAGGCTCTATTTTTTCATAAGGTAAACTACATAGATATTATCTCCCTGTGCGATTTTGCTTAGCTTAAAAGTTAAGATTAGTATTTATATTCCAGTCCTTTAAATGTGTTTATAAACCAACTCTGCAATGCAGTACTTCATGGACAACATGGAAAAAGTGTAATAAAAAAAAATCTGAAAAGGTTCAGAATTTAACCATCATCCAAAAGGGCTCTTTTAAAGTTTAATAGCTTCATCAGTAAAGACAGAGATTGCCCTGTGGAATAGTGAAACATTTTATAGAATATAGATGAGCATGCATTTAAGATAAACATAGGAGCAGTATATATCTTCTGAATACTTAAAAAGTGAAAAAATATGTAATAAAGTATAAAGCACAAATATGTAAAAAGTTAATAAATATTCTAAAAAATATTTAATGTTTTTAATTAGGTATTTCATGAATTAAATGCATTTTAAATCAAAGAGATTAAAATATAAAAAAAGTAATATTTTTAAAATCTGCATCTAATGCTTTTAAATAGTTTAGTCCAGTGGTCGTCAACCCTTAGAACTTCGCAGACTACTAATTAATGAATTAAAAAAAAAACATAAATCTGAGGAATTTACAATATTGATTATAAGCATTAAATTATTTTCATATAATGCAAAAGTTAAACAACATATTAATATGCAAAAACAATATTCAACTTTCAAAAACATGTAATTCTAATTTACATTTGTTAATGTAATTAATTTTTGAAACATTTGGTGCTCAGTAGCATGCCTTTATGGAAATTCAGACTACGCCCCTGATTATGAGTAACAATTTAAACACTATTAACATCTCACTGATAGACATATTTCATTCACATTGAAAAATTATATGAAAAGTACAAAAATCTTACCTTCTTGTACAGAAAGCTTCACATTTCCATATCACTGGAAAAGAACTTCACGAAAAGCAAGAACAAACTGACAAACGCAAAGCAGTATCAATAAACTGAAAATGCTATGCCACCAATTTTTAATTATTGCAAACATAATAATCATCGCTTACTTAGCAATAGTGCCATCGATCAACAGTTAAACAAAACAAAAACGGAAACTTCCAGTGATGCAATTACAAACAAGAATGCAGATGGTTCTCATAAAAATCCATTAAGTGGCCTTGACATGAAGAAAAACTGTGTTATTAATGACTACAATAGCATATGTTTGTAATTCAAAAGGAAGGGGAATCCCAGTTCAGGCTATTATTGATAACAGCAGCATCCAGGGATACTGACTCTCACTTTCAAATGTCGCTAGATACACCTGCAAAAGTAGCTAAAAAGGCGCTAAATAGGAATTTCACTAAAAATAGTAGCTAAAATTAAAAAAAAAGTATAATCCATATTCCATAATACGTTTTCTTATTTGTCATTTTTTAAACTGAATCTTCATAAAAATATAAATAATGTCCCAATTTTTCTGCGGACCATCAAAACGCTTTCATGGACCATCGGTGGTCCATGGGCTACCGGTTGGTGACCGCTAATTTAGTCTGTTAATTAATAACAGACAGATTAAATATGAAAGAATATCTTAAATTTTTCTGAATAGTGACAGATTCAAACGAAATGTAAAACAATGCAAAATTGTGTTATGCGATTGATAGCTCTTTCAGGCTAACAATCAAAAGGTTCAAGCAACATCAAAATGAGCAGGTATTTTAAGAAAGAATTTTTTACCTAAAAATCCATACAAGGTATAGTATAAGGTAGATGTATAATATAAAACAAGCAGGGGAAAAAGAACAAAAGCACTTGTTTTTAAAATCTTTTTATAGTCTACTAATTTATATTTCTTAATAAAACTTTTCTATTTATTGACAATTCCTATTATAACATATGACTAAAAATCTATAATTAAATGGAGAATGTGTCATGTATTCAATATTATGTCACCTACCAGAAAAATATTTTTCAAAACTGATTTCAAATGTGACAAACAATGCTAATTTCAGACTTATTTTATCATTTAAAAAAAATAAGGATTGAAAATGAAGGAAGGTGAAAAGTAGAAAATACAGATTCCGTTACTTTTTTAACAATTCCAGCCACTTCATTTCAGCACGAGCTTTTTCTACTAAAGTTCTTTCCTGAAACTGTAACAAGGAAAGCTGATGACGAGCCCTTAACTCTTCTTCATGTGTCATCTTTCGAATAACATCCAAAGTAAGTTGAGCAAAAGAATCATCAGAGAACTCAGAATCATTTTGCTGCACTACATCCGACAATGTAGACTGGCTGCTCATCAGTGTGGCAGAAGATACTGAATCCTAAAGAAAATAAATGTACTAATTAACTTGCACCTATGGGGGGGAATCAGATTTTGCCACATGCATGATGCTTACATAAAATTATATTAAAATACACAGAATTTAAGAGAAAAATTCACAAAAAATAAAATTAAAATTAAAAGTCATGGAACATTAAAAAAAATTAAGGGCTTTTTAGCAGAATACTTACATTTTCAGATAGACTTGCAGGAGACGGTGACGAAAAATTTCCTGAAATTTTCCTTACATTTCTTCTCTGGGATAATTTGTCAATACCTAAATTGTTTAAAAGAAAAAAAAAAAAAAAAAAAAAAAGATGCATAAGTAAAAATAAGTTAAAAAAAATTATGCCTATGATAGAATAAGTTGAATATTCAAAATCTGATGAAATTTTATGTGAATATATACATTGGCTGTAATTTAAAGTATAATCTAAAGTTACATATTTTTCCCCCGCCACACATATACATAAAATAAAAAAGGGCCTTTGCAATATTGATGGTGTAGAACGCAGATGGTTGAATCTGTAATGAGTAGTGGGAATTTTTGATGTTGTAAAATGCTGAAATGCCAATCCACAATGAATAGGAAACTGGCAGCTGAGTCAGCTAAAATCTTTTATTATATTTCAACAAACATGTAGAACAATTTCAACAAACATTTCAACAACTTAGCATGATATTTGTGTCTATTTCAAGAGGCTTACATTTTTGATAACTTTGAGTAAGAAGGAAGCAAGCAGCAGTCCAGCTAGGCCAAAGAGTAGTGAACAAGTGCTTTAAGTTCAGTGTGAAGTCTTAATTTCAACTGAATTAGTTTTGGTTCTCAATGCATTTTGATAGGATAATTAGTACTGCTGTAAAATTATTATTGGCTGTTTGAGTTTTAATTCCATTTACATCATCAGAATTACATAAGAATCATATGACATAGATTAGTCTCAAAATGCAGTTCAAATATATATTACCATTTTTTGAATATAGAGGGAAAATTATTATTATAAATTTTTTTAAATTATGGAATGAATTAGTGCAGTTCACAAAGGACAGTTACCTTATGCAAGGAATGGAGGCCTTCTCAAGTGGACAGCCCTATTGATGGAAATGTTTGTTTAGAAGTACTGCGGGGTAAAAGAATAATTTCTGCTGTATTACTCCTCTTATGTTTGTGATGTTAAAGTATAATTGATCAATATGAAAATCAGTGTCATATATTTTTATATGTTTCAGTTAATTTGAATAAGTAATGGCTATGTAGAAGTTTTTGTGATACTCGGTGATGACAAAAATTTTCCCTGAAGAATTTCGATTATGTGAACTCTAAAACAAAGAGACTTCTGCACTGAAATGTTGAAAATTTTAATAGGAATCTTAAAATTTATTTTTAAAAATTCATGTTAAAAATTATACTTTACAGTTATTCAATAATTTGAAAATTTTAATTTCTTAGCTTTAATGCTTTTTCTTTAAAAAAGGCTTCTTGTCACTTACCTTTTTCTCCTTAAATTAGAGAAAAAATAAAAAAAGGTATTAAAAGATTAATAATTTTAATTAGCATGTAAATTAATTTCCCCTCTATATTCTAAAAATAGTAATCTCTAAGCATTGTATCATTTCGAGACTTTACAGTTATTCAATTAATTATGTTGGTCAAAATTTTATGAATTTTCTTCATTTGCTACTGCTTTAATGCTTTTTCTTTAAAAAAGGCTTCTCTGTCACTATACCTTTTTCTCCTTGAAGGGATATGTAAGAAAAATAAAAAAGGTATATAAAAGATAAATTATAATTTTAATTAGCAATGTAAATTAATTTTCCCTCTATATTCTAAAAATAGTAATCTCTAAGCATTGTATCATTTCGAGACTAATCCATGTCATATGATTCTTATGCAATTCTGATGATGTAAATGGAACTAAATCTCAAACTACCACCAATAATTTTACAGCAGTATTAATTATCCAGTCAAAATGCATTGAGAACCAAAACTAAATCAGTCTAAATTAAGATTTCACCCTGAACATAACGCACTCGCTCGCTACTGTTTGGCCTAGCTGGACTGCTGTCTGCTGCTTCCTTCTTACTACACAGTTATAAAAAATGTAAACCTCTTGAAAAATGGACAAATAATGTGGCAAGTTGTTTACGGCTGTAACATGCTTGCTGAAATAAAATAAAAGATTTTATATGCCTCGGCTGCCCGTTTCCTATTCATTGTGGATTGGCATTTCAGCATTTTACAACATCAAAATTCTTGCTGTTCATTAGAGATTTAACCGTCTGCGTTCTACACCATCAATACTGCAAAGTCCTTTTTTTTATTATATATATACAGTACAAAGTCCGTAATCCGGACGGCCATTATCCGGAATGATCTATAATCCGGACCTCAAAGCCACAAACTTTTTTTTGTATGCTTTATGTACACACATTTAATGTATAACAGATGGTATAAGCTAGGCTAAAATTATCTTTACCGATTCTAAGGCATTTCAGTTAATGTTGCAGATTGCGCTGTTCCCTAATCTTCTAATTGGATCCGGCTTATTATTTTTTGCTGATTGTTACACAATTTTATAAAAATTAAGCTTGAACTTTTGATTATGTTAAAAAAGAGTTTCCAATTCTGGAGCTGCCAAAGGATCTATGAAGCGAAAGCATGTTTCGATGTCCATCAAACAAAAAGTGGAATTGCTGCAAAAAAAGGATAAAGACATATCCGTCTCAAAATTATGTGAGGAGTATGACATTGGAAAGTCAACCGTATAGGACATAAGCAAAAGGAAAAAGGAACTTTTTGAATTTTTTGTGGATTCCGACACCCCACTTGCAATGAATAACAGAAAAAGGGTTCGTTACGCTAAAAGTGGTGATTGAATGGGATGATGAAATGAACTTAAACACTGAGTGCACATATTCGACAGGTTGGTTAACCAAATTTAAAAATCCCCATGGTATAAGACAATTAAAAATTTCAGGTGAAAAAGCTTGAGCTGATACTGAAGCTGCTGAACAATTTGGGCGTGGATGAAACAAGTGCTGATGAATTATTGGTTTGAAAATCATTTTACACCAGAGGCTCGGCGACATTTGAATTCGGTTTGTTTACCCGATGACTCAAAAATAGTCCTGATTGTTGACAACTGTTCGGCACATACTTCACTTAAAGTTTGAGTGAAAGATAATGTATCGGTATTATTCTTCGCTCCATATTGTACGCCTATCATTCAGCCTATGGATATGGGAATACTGCACGTGCTGAAATGCAAATATAAAGTAGTATTTTTAAAATCTATGTTAAATTTCTTGAACAATGGCAAGACTATTAAAGAATTTTTGAAATTTTTTAGCATAAAATCTGCTGTGTGGAGCATCACAAGATCACGAGAGTATGCGTCTCCAGATACGTTAAAAATGCTTGGCATAATTTATGGCCAGCTACCATATTTCATGGTGAGGACGATGAAGATGATAGCCGCAAATTTGAAGGTTTTCGGACATCGCAAACTAAAGGTGAAATTTTCTAGTTATTCGATTTTGTAAAGAAATGTGGAGAAGTGGTAATAAATGAAGACGATATAACAGAAGTTTTTCATTGCAACGACAATGCCCCAATCACCAATCAATTAACAGACGGCGAAATCTGTAGTATGGTTCTAGATCCAGAAAATACCGCTTATGATACGAGGGCAATTCCAAAAAAAAAAAAGGTCTCCTAGATTTTTAGATATACAAAGAACCGTTTATTTTCTATAATTGCTACATCACTTTAAAGATTGCAGAATGCTTTATTTTTCAACATAATCGCCATTTCGGTCGATGCATTTTGGTAGACACTGTGGCAGTTTTACAATGCCCATGTCATACCAGCTTGCCGCCATGCCCTTCAGGAAGCGTTGAGGAGCTTCAGGAGCATCCAGATGATCCTCCGATCTTTACGCATTTTACAAACTCAACAATCGCGAAACTCAATGAATACGAACTCAACAATCGCGAAAGTTGAGGAACTCAACTTTCGTGATTGTTTCGTCAACAACTGACGGCCTCCCGCTCCTTTCATCGCCATGAATTTCAGTACGAACGGCTGTAAACTCTCTACACCACTTGCGAATGTTTTTGACATCCATGCACGCTGTCCATACACTTTTGTCATTAGGCGGGGAATTTCAACCGGTTTAACGCCTTTTGCGTTAAAAAATTTAATAACTGCGCGCACTTCGCACTTAGAGGTAACGTTTATCGGGAGCTCCATTTCGAATGGCTGCCAAGCCAAGACTGAGCTTCCGAGCGCAGCGTCTGCGTGCTTATGTGGTAGTGGAGAAGGCACCACTCACAACAGTGTTGCCAACAACCGTATTAAAACTTTCTCTACGTTAAAAAAAATAGGAGACCTTTTTTTGGGATTGCCCTCGTAGTAAAGAAAGTGACAGAGAGGTTATTGAAAACGAAAAAATTTTGATTGACAAGTTAGTCGGTATTCTCGACACAGCAATTACAGGACTTGAACAGTGAAACTTTGTAACTGAACAAGAAATGATGTCTGTTTATAGAATTAAAGAGAAAGTATTAGCACAAAAAGTGAAGCAACTTAAACAACTTACATTGAAAGAAATGTTTAATAAAGTAAATAAATAAATATTAAGCTTTTTTTTTTTTTTTTTTGTAAATTTTGATACACTTTAGATCAATCATAAATGCTCTTTATTTCATAAATTACGGTTTCATATTTTTAATTGTATAATTTCTGCATGCCATCTTACCAGATTTAAATTGATGATCTATAATCTGGAAAAACCCCTAAACTGGAATCGCTGAAGTCCTGACGAGTCCGGATTACGGACTTTGTACTGTATATATATATAGAGAGAGAGAGAATATAGAATTTTATGTGAATATTTGTAGATTTTTATATATACACACAAAAAATGTCAGTATTTCATCCATGTAGCATATACTACTAATAATAATACAAGCCAAACCAAATTTAATCATTCAGTTGTAAATCATTACAGCAAACAAAGCAACTGGCACATACTGGTCCATGGTACATCAATTAAAGTACCAAATTTTTTGTCACACTCTACAAATGCTTTATGCAAGATCTTTTTGTTAAACTATCCAGATCCAATCTACAGTCCATAACAATTTACAGACATTGAAATAGATTCAATATGATTAACATGATGGAATGGGTATTGCAGTTTTTGAGTTCACTACATTTAGATGGCAATAATAGCACAAAAACATCCTTCCCTCCCAAGAAAAGAGAATTTTCCAAAAGGTGTGGCCACATAAATTTGTAGATCAGTGATGCATTTGCTCATTCAGACTTTTGTCCTTTGAACTACAGATTGAATATTTATTACTTGACTAAGCTCAAATTAAGTATCTGTAATACATGCTAAGAAACGTACTGTACTTTACTGTTGGGGTAAATATGAACCAATTACATTGTTTGCTACAAACGTTTGTCATTGTCACAAGATGCTTCTTTTTTACTTATTATAATGACAAATATACTAACCTTTGCTGATGTGGCTTTCTTTGGGTTCACTGAGAATGCTAGCAGCAGATGATGCTACAGAATCATTTTTGGAATGATAGGATACCAAACTATCTGTATTTTTTACTCCTTTCTCGGAAGTGCCAGCTAAATTTTCTGGAATGGAATCATTAGAAGGACTGTGTTCATCTTGCACTTCATCTGCAATTGTTCCTTCAGAAGATGGCTTTGAGTTATTTGATTCAATACTAGCAGACCTTGTACGGTCTGATGATGTTTTATTTGCTTGGGGGCTTTCAAAATCACTACTGTACTGTCTTGATTCAAGATTTGAAGGGCTTGTAGTGGCTTCAAAAGCACTAATAAAAGTTCTCTATAAAATTGAAAATATTTGGAATAAAAATTAATTACATGTTAAACATTAAAAATTTCTACAAATACATATTTATTTAAAGCAATCAGAAACTTAAATTAATAATTTAGTAGAAGCAGATTGAATCATTCCAGGAAGATGTTAAAATTAGAAGAAACTTATTACATTTAAATTATGAGTCAAAATTAAAGATGATCCTTTACTATTTTTGAAAATCTTTTATAATTTATTTAAAGTAGAAATACCAATCATATAAAAAATTTGGTACTGTTCTGTTACCCGGACCGGATTCAGAAATGTTTGAATGTTTGCATGTGTGTGTTTATGTAGTTTTTGTATGTATGTATGTGCATATATGTGTGTATGAATAAACACACACATGTATTCATGCTTACATATATACATACATGAACACATACATTCATACATTTCTGGATCCAGTCGCTGATAACAGAACAGTACCAAAAATGTTTTAATACATTATACATTTTTACATTAAAGACTGATTGCTCAGGAGGTAATAATCTAAAACACCTGAAACATTGTTACCAGATCTTTTCCTTAGTAATTACCATAATTTCCGGAAGAAATGCCGCGACGTTTATGTGTTTAAAACTTAAATTTTCAGTGGGTGTGGCGTTTCTACCCATGCGGTGTGCGTTTAGGTGCACTAAAAATAAAATATTTCCTATGATGGTCATTGTACATAGTTTGGATGGCATTGTACATAGACTGGTGCTGTTCCCACACAAAAGACCACTCAGTTGCTTTTTGCGAATGTTATTTTGTTTACATTCTTTCCCTTGAACAGACCTACATGCCTTATTCACCCTATACGGGATCTCAGAACAGTAACATTTTTTTTTCTCTTTCAAATCAACATTCTCATCAGTTTGAATAGTCTCTCTCCTCTGCCATTCGATGAATCTTCCAGGAGACATCCTCTCCCCACCCCTGCCTTTTCTGCAAATTTTTTCAAAGGCGGACATGACTCCACCTGCCTCGCAATAACGAACTCTGACGTATTTTTCCTTCAGCATGAAACAATTTTTCTTGGCATTCTGCCAGATACAGATCCCATCAGTTTGGGTACAAGTACTTGTTGGATAGTTTTTAAGTAAGAAGGGAGCAGAAAAATTTTGAAAATGGCATCTAAATGGCACAGAAGCTATACTGCTGATTTTAAGCTTAATATAATTTCACGTGCTGAACAAATTGGAAATAGAGCAGCAGCTAGAGAGTTTGAAGTGGACGAGAGACGTATTCGACGTTGGAGAACTGAAAAAGATTTGATTTTTTACATGTCTGTTAGCTTGTGCCGCAAACGGTGACAAGCTAAAGCCGATGATCATTTTTAAACGAAAGACTATTCCAAAGGGCGATTTTCCTAATGACGTAATTATTTGTGCAAATGAGAATGGCTGGATATGCGAAACGATCATGCATGAGTGGCTATAAAAAGTTTGGCAGTGTTGTAAGGAATCTTTTTTCCAACCAAAAGGGTTATTGATAATGGCTTACTTGCATGCTCATTTACTTGAGTCAGTGAAAACCAGATGTCAAAAATTTTCTACGACCGTAGCAATAATTCCTGGTGGTTTGACAAAAATCTTACAACCATTAGATTTGTCAGATAATAAAGCCTTCAAAAGCTGAATTCCAAAAGCGGTGGGAGTGTTGGATGAGTGAAGGATTGCATACGTATACCAAACGCAGCAAAATGCGTAGAGCATCTTATGAAGAAGTTGCAAAGTGGGTAGGAAGTGCATGGAAATTGGTGAAAACATGTAATTCCTTTTGTAAGTAAAATTTAAAATTTCCTTTGTCATCCAAATTTAATATTTCGATGTTGCAACCTTTTTTTATAATATAGTCTGAGTATTACAAATATGGACTTCTTTAGTGGGCAAATATAAGTATATACATGAACGTAAATATATTTTCAATATTTCTTACCTTTAATTTATTTTTGAGTTATGGTTTCATTTCATGCATTTTTCTCAACTGATATGTCATATATCAGGACTTAGGTTGAGATTTTGCATCTATACGGCCCATGACGATGCCACGCGCAATTTAATCTATTGTGGCGTTTACGCTGATGCGGCCTTTCTTCCAGAAATTGCGGTAACAAAAAACAAAATTGGCTGGTAGCTCAGTTACAATTAGTAGCTTAATTCTGCTTTATGTAATTAATCTGCGAGCTGCGAGGTGCGCACAGTAATAAGGTTTCTGACTGCAAAAAACTGTAAACCGATAGAAATCTATCGGCAGCTTCGTGAAGTGTATGGGGACAACATTATCACTGAAGGTGGAGTGCGTCAGTGGGTCATAAGATTTCAAAATGGCCGAACCAATGTTCACGACGAAGATCGAAGTGGGAGACCCAGCATAGTGACCGCCGAACTTCTCGAAAAAGTCGATGCTAAAGTCCGTGAAAATCGAAATTTCACAATAACGGAACTTTCTTTGAGTTTTCCACAAATTTCGCGAAGTTTGTTGCACGAAATCATCAGCGAAAAGCTTGGTTACCACAAGTTTTGTGCAAGATGGAAGGCAAGAAGAGGTAACGAAGTGGTTGAAGGCGCAGGCGGCCGAATTTTTCGACGAAGGAATTTCCAAGCTCGTACATCGCTACGATAAATGCCTTAATTTGTATGGTGACTATGTAGAAAAGTAGTATTTGAGTGTGGCTTTCATCTGTATATAATAAAATTTGTTTCCTATACTTTGTTTATTTTTTTTATTCCAAAACGTAATCTACTTTCTGGATAGCCCTCGTAAATCAAATACAGTCAAATACCGAAAATCTGCCAACCTGAAATCTGCGTTGCCTCTAAAAATATAAAACATTTAGTTTATAGGTTCCGGAAACCACAACATGGAGTACGAAATATCGAAGAAAAAATACTTACTGGATAATGACGTCATAATTACCGAATAATATGAGTCATATCTGAAATACCAAATTATTGATAAGAGTTTTTTTCCCTTTAATCTGCATCGAGGGAAAAAAGCAGACGATTAACTCAACTCTTCTTTCAAGTTCACTCTTCACGTTGTTGTACTTTCTGAGCTTTGTTATTTCACAAGATTGTTTAGTAATGTAGTTTTTTTAATCCGGATATTTTGTGGATATATTAAGAATATTTTAAATTTCAGCACTTTTTAATATGACAGATAAGAAATGCACTCGTGATTTTACTGCTTGCAACGTTGAAATACGTAAACACATTGCATTGATGGTAATGAAAAAAGTGGAAATTCTGCTAAAGATAGAGGCAGGTGCTACTGCTCGGTTTATAGCAGAATCGTATGGAATGGCCACAGGGACTGTGTATGATATATGGAACAATAAAGAAAAGCTGTTGAAATTTTACAGCAACAGTGATTCTAACATCAGAAATCTTTACATGAGACGAAATCAGCCAACCTTAATGCTGTCCTGTATGAAAGGTTCCGGCAGCGGTGGAGTGATGGGGTACCTATTTCAGGACTACTCCTGAGAGAAAAGGGGAAGCAGATTCCTGCTGATATAAAAATAGAGGAGCCTAATGTAAATGAACAATATAATATAATCAGTTTATATATGCAATAATTTAACGCATATAATTAATTATTGTATTAATGTATATAATAATTTAATTAAATGCTTCTAATACCCCTTATTTATTTTGCATTTTTAGTTTGAATATTATCTTTTCTGTCCTGACATCGGCAAAATCCTAAAATCCACACAACCTCTGGTCCGAAGTGTTGCGGATTTCTGGACTTCTACTGTAATAAAAAAAGGCATAACGGAAGTGAGAAAATATGATATGTATTTGTAATTAATGAATAAGTAGTTTTCTACATTTTCAACTTCAACATTTCAACAAGTAAAAGCACAAGAATGAGATGCAGTCCTCAAGCACCAAATAATGATTAATTTGTTACAGCTAATGGTAAAGTTTTAAGCAATAATTTTATATTTAAATACCAATTCCAGCACTTGTATATATGTACTTAAAACCAGTAATACCTAATGTACTCTATTTAAGAAAATAAATAACAAATTTTTAAAATACCTTGTGAAGTAAGGCTTTCTGGGTTTCTAAAACAGCAAGGACAGCAGATGTTGCAGCTGCAGCTGCAGCTTCAGAAGCAACTTGAGTTACAACATTAGAGTGAATATATTTATCATCCTTTATTATAATACCTTGTATTTTCTGTAATGTATAGAAAAATATTAAAAACCCTACATCACAAATTATAAAATTAAGTTAAATAATAATCATAGTTCATTGTTAAAATCAAAGTTTGAGTTAATATTGAAAAAATAACAGAAGACATAATAATAAATCAATAAAACATATGAATAGCCTGATTATAAAAAGCTGCTTTCGAGAGTATTTATGCACTCTGTATGCTAAATTTTAAATATCTAATTGAAAAAAAAAATTACATCAGATTTAAAATATATATTCATTTAATAATAATACTATTAAATGTATTATTTCATTTAATACTATTAAATTATTATTTCATTCAATAGTATTAAATGAAATAATGCATGATAAAATAAAAAATATAGTTTTATTTATTACATTTAAAAATATCAGGTAACTACACAGAATATTAAAACTTTTTACCTAAAAAGACTGCTAATTTTATTTTTCCTAAATGTCAAACAATTCTACAGAGGCTAGAATAAAATATTAAATAACACAGTATTGTGAGAAGAAATTTCAGATTATATCATTTATGGTACTTTCGAAATCCATTTTCTGTTTAGGCAAAACTGCATTGCTGAATTTTGCACATACAATTAAATAATATAAAAATAATAGAACAAAGATAAATAGCCGAGTTTTACACCCACTGCGATGTACATGTTTCAAACATGGAAGATTATAAACAGAGATATGGTCAGTTTTTGAAGAGAAAAACTGAAACTGCAAAATGGTAAAATTAACACTGAAAAGCAACAATGATAATTACTCCATGAAAATTTTTTTAAAATAGAAATAGATTGCTTAGGTACTTAAACAGCTTAGTTTTATATGCATGCATGCAATAGATAATAGATACATTACGAACTTCATAAATTATCTAGATTTTATTATCAAAAGCTGAGAAGATCAATTTAAATAAAAGAAAAAATACTGTGTTTCAACTTATGAGAATATAATGTCTGACCTTCTAAACTTAAAATACACTAAATAACAATACATACACTGGTTATCATAAATTAAGGAAAAATCACAAAAATAGCGATAACTCCTTAAAAAATAAGCCAAACCATGTAAAATTTGAATATATTGCCAAGTAAGAATAGCTGAGTAAAACTGCAATATGCAAATTAGTGGCGCTGCTTTCGGAATACGTCATCTGCGAGGAGCATAAAAGTCCATGTTTGAGAGCAAGTCCACATATTTCACACTGTGACATTGACATCAGAAATCTGAGATAGCCAATTCGTAACAATGACCTCCAGGCATCATTTGCCTGCAGAAATGCGATGGAAAGCCATTGGGAGACTAGAGGCAGGACAAAGTCAAACAGAAGTGGCCAGATGGCTACATGCGAGTCCTTCTGTGGTTCATAGACTTTGGAGGTAATTTCAAACCACAGATTTGGCATCTAGGAGGTTCAGACTAGGACGGGCAACTGCTACGACGAGCACCGATGACCGATATTTGACATTATGTGCACGCAGGAATAGAATCGCTACTCAGACTCTTCTTAAATCCTCCCTTGCTGCAGCCACCGCAAAGTTCGTGTCAACGTCAACTGTGTGTAGAAGGCTTCACGAAGGTGGTCTGCATGTGAGGCAATCAGCCATTTGTGTGCCGCTCACATCACGCCATAGGAGGGACCGTTTACAGTGAGCATGACAACATGTCCACTGGACGGCTGATCAATGAATGGAAGGCAGTTCTCTTTACGGATGAGTCCAGGTTTAGTCTAGAAAGCGATAGTATGTGTTATTTGATAAGGAGTGATATGGAGAGAACCTAGAACCCATTATCATCCGTCAAACATCCGTGAAAGAGATGTATACAGGGGCAGTGTGGCATCTCTTTGGGTGGACGCACAGACCTTCATGTCTTTCCAAGGGGAACCGTGAATGCTCAGATTTATAGAGATGACATTCTTGATGTTTATGTGTGCCCATATGCCGGGGCATTAGGTGATGCTTTCCTGTTACATCAGGAACCAGGTTATCAGGTGATAACGCAAGACCACACAGGGCTCATATCGTAGATGATTATCTTCAACAGGAAACAATTATGCACATGGAGTGGCCAGCTCGATCGACGGACTTGAATCCTATCGAGCACGTTTCGAGCACGATATCAAGTTTTATATAGTTATAAAATTACTTTGCAAAATGCATTTGTAACACAGCCATGAGAAAATTTAAGATACAGTTGACTTTATGAACTCATAGCACATATAATATGTATGAATTATTCTAACTTAGACCATAATACTACCAAATATATATAGAGGTATTATATTATCCAGTTAAATAATTAAAATTTGTATTTAGCCATGTAGATATAGAAAAAATAAGAGATTATGGAATTTTGACAATGTATTTCTTTCAGTAAAATGTCCTGTATGTTCATAATAGTTCTCAATCTCCTTTTTTCAAATAAATAAACATTAGAATAAATTTTCAATCATTCTAAATGATCATTTTGAGTCTCTTTTCTTTTGAAACCTTTCTCACATAACATGCCCTTTTTGATTTCATAAAGATGTAATTTACCTATATCTCAATTTCATAGCTAGAATTCTAATTCCTAGAGATAATAAGCTGATATAATTCTAACATAGAATATGTCATAAAATATATATTAGAATTATATCAGAATTTCTAGTTATGACTAATACAGCTAGATAATTCATTACTTACCTGTTCAGAATTCACAGCTAGATCACCAAGTGTTAATTTCACTGCTTGAGTATTAGTCACCAATATACTGTTAGAAGATTTAGATGATGAATGATTATGAAATACATCAGAAGAATAAGTATCCTACAAAAAGAAAATTATTATAAATACACAAAGCATAAATTATACACATCTTAATTAAATTAGCAATCACCTACCAAAGTGCTAATAAACTTTGTTGACATAGTAGTTTTCATAAACGATTTTATATTTATAGAATTAGAGCTATTTACATACTTTAATATATTAGAATTCCAAGATTTTGCATACCTTTAGACTAAGGTTTAAAGAATTTTGCAGATTGTACGTCCTGTCTTTATGATTTGGAATCATTTAAACTTATAGAATACAAAATTATTACTATTTTTAAATACAATCATATATAATACCAATTCAAGGGTTATGGTAAAAAGAGAAAGAGAGAAATATTTTGAAGAAATAAAACTTTCAAAAATGAATAAAACATTTATGTAAAATATTGGTATGTTCATTACAGGAATTACATTAAAAATAATTTTTATGCTCTTAAATGAAAGAAGTAAATACTGTTTAAAAAAATCAGGCCATAAGGAAAATCCCTATGCTAATTACATCACTACATTCAGGACATGCACAATTGGATAAGTAATACTATCAGTAATTAATTAAAAATATTAAAATTAAAAGTTTTAATTTATATGTCTTGTTTAGTCCATTTTTCTTTATATTTTCCATTTGATACACAAGAAAAATCTTTACAGCTGCTGATAATCAAATGCTGATTATAATCAATATAAATTAATCACAAATATAAAAAGTGAAGATTTACAAAAATATGAAGTAGTATACCAGTTTATATATACATGCATACCAGTTTATTTTGCCTGTGAGATTTTGAATCAGAAGACCTAAGGAGATAAACATAAAAGAGATTTACTGATTTAAAATCAAAACAGAAGAAACATTTTTCGAAATACAAATAAATATAAAAATTATTTAAAATTAATTTTCTTGACAAATTTTACTGAAATTTTATATATTTGAGCTTACAATGTTTAATAAAAATTTCCATTAATAAATGTTAAGATTTAGATTAAAATTATATTTCACATACAAATGAAATCAAAGTTTATTCTAAATTACTGTTTAATAGCAATAAGTATATGTACACTGCTCAAAAAAAAAAAAAAAAAAAAAAAAGGGGACAGTCCTATATCTCCCGATCTACTGGGCCGATTGACAAAATTCAAATTGCGTTCTTCATGTCTCGAAAGCGCGACTTAGGATATATATTAGATTTATATATAGCACTATTCTAACATAGGTATTTTGACACAAAATCGAACTTTTTCTGAAATAACATACCAATTTTTTTATATATTTCGATTCTACACTCAAATTACGCCTAAATATGAAATTTTGTAAAATTTGGAGCGAAATTTACGGAGAAATTCACAAATTTATGTTGGCACTTTTTTGTCAGTTTGCGCCAAGAATAGTTCACTTGGCGAACTTCTTAATATATGGCAACCTAGTTTCCTTTACTGTGAGCGGAAATAAAGTCACCATTGTTCCTTTTTTCCAAATAATATTCTTTATATTTTTAATTATAACTTATTATTTTAAGTAATTTTTTCTTTTTCGAATTTCATTTTAATTGTTTAAGTTGCATGGTTTTTTTTTTTTCGAATAACTATTTTAAAAATTTCTACTTACCTTTTCGAACTGCGTAAATAAAGGTGCAGCATTTATTTTTTTTCAAATAGTTTTCTTTATATATATTTTTTGTCATAGTTATTATTTTAGGTAATTTTTAAATTCTTAACTTTTATTTTAATTGTTTGTGTTGCATTGTCTCTTCAGATAATTGTTTTAAAATTTTCTAATTATTCCTTCGAATTGAGCATTTTAAATATATTTATTAATATAAATTTTCCAGAATTTGATTTTATTTATTTCAATTGCGTTTCTTTCGGAGGAATACTTTGTAATCCAGACTACGATGCGTTTGAAAACTGCATATATTAAAACAGAAAATACAGTAAAGCACAGTTAACACGCCTTTCAATGTTCCGTTCAGAAAAGATATATATAAATAAGAGAGACATTTAACTTAGGATTGCGACATTTTAACTTAGGATGACTTGCATACACTGCTTTAAACAGTTTTATCATTGTGCCCATTGCTTTACACAATTTTATCCTACATTTGACTTCTTAAATGTTATTCATATTTTAGTCAAATATTTTATTTTTGAAATCGTAAAAATCAAATATCATAAGATTAAAAGGTTTTAAATTAAAAAAAATACAAATACTAAATTTTACTCAAAAATTTATTTTTTCTTCTCTTTTTCTTCACGCATTCTACTTTATTCTTGCTCTTTTTCTTCATTCTACTTTATTCTTGCTCTTTTTCTTTAGGCATTCTGCAAGTATATTAAAAAGTATCCAAATTTTCGAAATATCTTGATATTTCTGACAATCATTTTAAATAAAGTTATCGCCTTCCATTTCAAAAAGGCCCACAAACGGCCGAGCGGTAAAGTCGCTGAACACTGATAGTTCACTCCGGGGTTCGAATCCTGGTAAACAGGCTGGTTGCATGGGCGTTTCCGTGGATTTTCTCATGTGTACCGTGTATGCCAGCTGATTTCCCTTAGAAAGTTCTTCACAAAGGCATCCTTCCTTTTAGGCAGATAGCCCTGCTTTGACGTAACTTAATAATTCAATTCAATCCTATCAATCATCAATATTTGATCAGAGCCTTTATCAGTCTTTAGAGGCTAAACATTTTGAAGGTATGAGATGAAAGGAAAGACTGGTTTCATCAAGAGGTTTTGGTTTATTTAATTATGACAAAGCACACTAGGGCTATCTGCCTAAGGGGAGGGATGCCTTCGTAGAGGACTTTCTAAGGGGAACTGGCTGGCATACACGTTGCACATGGGGAAAACCATGAAAATGCTCAAGCAGCCAGCCCGTTCGCGGGATTCGGACCTCGGACAGAACTACCAGCGTTCAGTGACTTTATCGCTCGGCCGCTGTTTCATCAGGAGGAAAAAAAACATCTTTAGGTGACATCCACATACATCACTGGATAAACTCCTGAATCTTCAAATAATTCCAATGAGAAAATCATGGGATTCTCCATTTATGATACGATATGATGTTCTATAACGTAATTTAAATTTATACAACCATATAGTCTAAACCATATTGTCTTTTCTGTTAACCACAAGCTCAATTAATGGTATTTGCTGGTGTACACGTCCAAGTGTTTTTTCTTTGAACACCTAAATTCATTGAAGTATCCTGAAAGTATCTTCAAAAGCGTCCAACTTTTTTAAACATCTTGGTATGTCTGACAGCCAAATTTCCCTGCAAATTTTTGCTTATTTTTCTCCCTAATTTTCTTCTTTCCTTCTACAGTTGTTTTCAGTGCACACACAAGAAAACTAAGATTTTTCGATTGCTAGACTTCCATAAATTTTGCTTTCTTGTCAATTTTTTAAAATATCAATTACATGAATTGCGTTTCAGCTGAAGACAGCTTTTCATTTTCTAGTCATTTTAACTATAAATAAAAAAAAAGCGAAGTCCAAAGGATAAATATTTTAATTAAAAGATTTTTGCTAAATGACAAAGAAATAAAACAGTCCAGCAGGGTTAATTCTGTACCACCGAGTGACCCGATTCATATATTGGCTGAAACAATCTAAATCATATTAAAGATCATGTCTTTTTATACAATCTATAACACGAGAGAAAAATTAGCTTCTTAAAACTTTCTTTCTAAGAGGATTAATATAAAAGATTATATTTTTATATATATTTTTAAAGCTGGGACTTGAACCAAACTGTAAAATTTTTAAAGTTTAATTTACATGGTGGTTATAATTAAAGTTCCAATTTGAAATGGTCATAAAAGGAAAACTACCGTACCAAATGTTATCAAACTTGGGAATCGTGTAAAGGAGGTTATGAGAATTTATTTTCAGCAAGGAAAAAATAGTTAAAAAAACTCATCACCAGGGGGAAAATGACGCTGTATACAAGATTCTTAAATGAAATAAGACACGAAAACATCTGCTTAAAATGTGTTTAATATTTTCCGAAACGTGTTACAAAGCATGTTCAATGTAGCGTCTAGCATTTTCCGAAAGCAAGTTAAATCCTGTTACTGCATTCTCAACAGCAACTCTTAGCATATCGGGAGGAATGTTACGGGCCATGTCAGTGTTTAACATTTTTCATTTCTGCCAAATTGTTTAGATTATCACCATAAACAGTGCTTTTGAGAAAACCCCATAGCTAAAAGTCACAGAGGTTGAGGTCTGGTGGAAAGAGGGGAAGTGTTGGCGTATAAGACATTCATTCGTGAAATGTTGCCTAAGTAACTGTGCGACACACGTGAGGTGGGGCCCAGCCGTGCATAAAAATCGTAGTACCTAAAATGTCACATTACTGCAGTTCATGTATCACGAAACATTTTAACATTGACTCTAAATGAGCTGCAATCACAGTAGTCCAGCTGTCGACTGTTCTTCAGAGAAAAATGGTTCAGTTATAAAACTAGCTGACTGCTATGCAATCGAATGCAGTAGGAGAATGCAATGGAACTAGATAGATAACATGAGGGATTTTTTTTGGCCCAAATCGATTAAAAGCGTTTTGAATCAGTATCTTCATGTTTTAGGGCCGAATTCAGGCTTCAAAAATTACAAATTAGCGATCTGTAAGAAAACGATTTCCAGACTGTACGCACTTGTGCGAGTGATTTGCGATCTCACATTTTCTAATGGCTAATTCGTGGTTTTCACGGACGAATTTCTCACTTACACGGATGGCGCACTCGACATTTATCGAATTTAACGCCTTTAAATGGTAATTTTCTTACTTCAAAATTTCTTAAGGGTATGCAACATATTAAACCCGTGTAACAAAAGGTTAAGTTAGATTCCGACCCATATTTTGTTTAAAAATATTGCATACAGTGCCATTTTCACCCTGGTGGTGAGGTTTGGAACTTCCCTTTTTTCGCGGAAAATAAATTCCTATGATCTCTTTTACACGATTACCAGGTTTGATAACATTTGATCCAGTAGTTTTTGTTTTATGACCGTTTCAATGTGGAACTTTAATATAAAACACCCTGTATATTATTAAATTTTAATTGAAGCTATGCGTTTATATGTATACCATGCATAAATTTCCGCTTTTATAGAAAAAATAAAGAATCGAAGCAAATATACTTAGGATAATGGAACAAAACTGAAAAAAATTCCCCTCCCTCCGAAAATAAAATATTGAAACTTCGACCTTCAATTTATTGGTTTATCGAAATATTCAATATGACCTATCTTCTAAGTCCTAGTTCCGACAACAATTCCATCAAAAATTCCGAATTACTTAAGCTGATGTAAAAGATTTAGCATATATTCACTGTATGTTAGTAAAGTAATCAGAGTGTAATAAAAATAGATTATAGAATTTACGCTGATGCAACTTTTTGTCTGACTGCACAACATGTAATGGAAGAGAAGGCTTGTAGAGATCTGTTTTTGACATGCCTCTAAAAATAGATGTCATACTCCTTTTGTCTCTTCAATATCAAAAAACTTTCCTTTGAGAGGCAACTTTAGTTTTTGGGAAAGAAAAAAAATCACTAGAAGACAAATTTGAAAAACATGCAGGACGATTGAGTACACATACTTATTTTCGGAACACAAGCGGTTCTCCGACTGGTTATTGAATAATGAAAAGATGCATTATCATGCAATACAAAACATTTGGAATACGCTGTCTGACTGAAAACGTAAGATTAAAAGTCATCTGCTTAATTCACAACCATTTACAAGTCAACTAATGGGGCAATTGCAGAATCGTTTTGATCCTGAGCTTCTAA